ATAATTTTGTACCCCCACCCACAAGCAGAAAGGAACTGTGGTTTCATCGGTATAAAGTAACAATGGAGTAGGAAGACCGCCAAGACTGGGGGGGGGGGATTAGTCAAGTTCCGTATCACCTCTACGCATTTTTCAAAATAGCTAGGTGTCCACCCTATTTTAATTCTTTTCCCAACTTGAAAGCACTGCAGTACAAATATATTATATACCACCACCTTGGAGTTTAAGCCCATCATAAAACCTCAATTTACATGAACAGTAGGTACAACAGGTGGCAGCATTTAGCCAACATTTGGCTGATCTCAAAAAACTAATCAGGATCAGACTTGTTTGGGAGATAATCAGGGCTCTAGGCTACAGGAAAAGGGGCAATGAAACAGAAAAAGATAAGGACTTCTGTAGTGCTGAAAAAGAAAGCAACAAATATGTGGGGAGCGGAGCTTAGGTTTTTAGACACAATCAATGTAATCCCTTTGTATGGATAGTAATGTGGGTCACTGGAATTTCTTTTACTTTGAAGGGACAATTTCCAAATAATTATTTAAGCTAAAAAAAGAAAATAACGATAGCCTTAGCAACTTAAAGAACTGCAAGTGGAGTTGCAATTGCAACGCACTTACTGTCAGTGACATCAATTCAATTTTCTCCCTTCACTTCTCCCCAGCCTGTTCTGGTCCTAGAAAACATACGCTGCCCTGATTTTTCATATCCTGTATTGGCTTTTCTTCTTAAATAAACCAAACCACGCGGGCAGGACACACAGGTATACGAAAGACAACTTCCACCTTTCTGACCAGCCCCATATATGCTTCAGGTGCGTAACTTTTTAAAAAATTAATCTCAGAACGGTCCTTTGGGAGATTCCTATTTTCATCCCTTTCCGAACGGAGGGAGATGAACTGATGAGATAATATAGACTGTCTGAACCCACCAGAAGTATGAACGCGTTTCCTATCCGTACTCCCTACTTCAACTGCAACTAAGCCCCAGTGGGCTCAGCATGGCTTACTTCCAAGGAAGCGTATTTTGGGACGGCCAGGACTAAGTCCCAAGAAACTTTCGAGGGCTTATTTTCAGGAGGCACACCCAGCGTGGCTCAGCAGTCCTTTAGCTTCTTGGGAACACGCCCGGCTAGCAACGGTTGCGGCCGCCGCAGAGGAAAGCGAAACATCACGGGTACCTCCCTCCCGAAGCCCGGCTCGCCCCCCCGAAGACGCGAGCGCCACGCGAACGGGCTCCTAATACCGCCTCATCTAACGCAGCGGACGTTCATTGATCACGCTAAGGACCGGCCGGCTCTGGAAGGGTCCCCAGGCTGGCTGCGCCCCAGCTACGCGCCCACCAGCCGCCTGGCG